TAAAGAATTTGCCACTGACGATTCAAACGCGAGTTTTGAGCAGTGTAGAGTAGCGCTTGTTTGTTGTTTCTCTGATCACAAATGCAGACATGGTTTTATGTTTACGCAGTGTGATGCAACGCGTAAAGAGACAGTACAAGTCATTATAATCCGTAATTATGTCCTCACTGGATGCAACAAATGCCTCGTTTATAATGGGTTTTAATGTTTTTGAATCATCGCTCCGGCCTGACAGGGCATCACAGTATGGTAAGGGGCGTAACATTTCCATCACACGCTTGAGGTATTCGGCCAATCACAACACAATGGATAGCTGGCCAATCAGAGCACACCTCACTTTTCAGACCGATTAGCTTTGTAAAAATCGACGCATTTCAGAAAGGCAGGGCATAGAGGAGAAACAATAATGTACAGTATGTGGAAAATAATGTGTTTTTTTAACCTTAAACTGCATAAACACATTTCATTACACCAAATACACCAAATAATGTTCTTTTTAGCAACATCATATGACCCCTTTAAGGCTAATCTATTGTTATTTGCTTAAACAAAATATAACTACAGATATGACTGTACTTGACGACTCGCAGACACTGCGGCGAGGGGTTCTGTTTGGCCAGATTCTTGTTTGGGGGCTGGAAATCTTGCATGCTCTCAGTCTTCACTCCAAGGTCAGGCGTGCTGGGAAGTAGGGCTGGGCTGAGAAGTCTCTCCTGCATGTCACACTTCAAACAGACTGCAGAGGGGGACATGCGCATAAGCAACATCACCTACCCATCCATTATAAGCAGACACACAAAACACAACACAAGCTTAAAGGTGCTGTATGTATGATTGACACCGAGTGGTTGAACTAGGTATTGCAGTCAAAATTAAACATATTGGAGAGGGTTTTTTTCACCCGGCCCCTCCTCCTCAGACTAACATGCAGGTTGCCAGATTGACGACACCAACAGGAACGAGCGCACTTGACGATGAATGAAATGAAATACGCTCTGTTTTCAACCAACTGGCAACCCGGGGTGACGAAATACAATTGGGTAAACTGGCAGTGGGCGGGTTTCACAGACCAAAACAGAGACACCTACATTCCGGCCCAGAACGCACATTTTCAAAGGAGAATAACTGACTGTAGCATTGTTTTTCAGATAAACAAGTATGTTAACTTAGCATGTTTCTTAAATATCTGCAAACATATTATGGTATTTTTATGCTTTAGTAGAGTCAAAAACTTACATACAGCACCTTTAACTAAAATATTCATTTTGGATAGGGGTACACCGATTCAATATTCAGTATCGGTATCGCACAGATACTGGCATTTACTGCCGGTGTTCTGTCGATTTGTGCTACCTGTCAGATTTTGCTACCTCCCATTAAAACAGTGGGTAGTACAATTCGACAACGAAAAATGCTACCTGTAAAATTATGGTTTATTAACGTCTACTCCTACCACAACCCTAAACCTACAGTAATGCAAATACAGTAATTATGTGTTATATTCACGGTTGTAGCTAGAAGGGATACAGCTACAGGAAACCAACAATAAATAATTTTTTCTACCTATTAGATTGTTTTATTAAAGTCTACACCTACACCTACCCCAACCCTAAACCTACCCCTTTAGTAGAGTCAAAAACTTAGATACAGCACCTTTAACTAAAATATTCATTTTGGATAGGGGTACACCGATTCAATATTCAGTATCGGTATCGCACAGATACTGGCATTTACTGCCGGTGTTCTGTCGATTTGTGCTACCTGTCAGATTTTGCTACCTCCCATTAAAACAGTGGGTAGTACAATTCGACAACGAAAAATGCTACCTGTAAAATTATGGTTTATTAACGTCTACTCCTACCACAACCCTAAACCTACAGTAATGCAAATACAGTAATTATGTGTTATATTCACGGTTGTAGCTAGAAGGGATACAGCTACAGGAAACCAACAATAAATATTTTTTTCTACCTATTAGATTGTGTTTTATTAAAGTCTACACCTACCCCAACCCTAAACCTACCCTTACAGTAATGAAGATACATTAAATATTGTTGTTCAGCATGAGAAAAAGGACGCAATATTGATGTGCGCATGCACAGTAAACCCTGGTAGGACAATCTGACGGATAGGATAAAATGTCAGGACACCGGATCGGGTATCGGTCAGACGAGACAGATCCAAATACGATATTCTGCGTATACTATTCTGTGTTATTGTTAAGCCATACGAAAGCCACAAAAACTTAAAGCACCATAACATTTTCGTGCACTATATTCCAAGTGTTCTGAAGCCGTTCCACAGTTTAATGTGAGGTACAGATGAATATTCAAGTCAAGCTGACGTAAACTCTTCTCTCCGCTGCGGCTGTCTGTCATCTCTTCCATTCAGCATTTAAACTGCGTGTCGCGTTCGGTTACGACAGTCAAGACGAAGAAACTCTCTCTAAGATGATTCAATGTTCCTAATATTATACTTGATCTGTAAATAAAGATAAATGGTTTTCCATAAAAGCACTTTATCTTGCTGGAGTTTTGTTTTGTTTCTAAATCTTGTTCATTTCTACCATGTTAGATCACAACACTGGAGTAGAGAGCACTATGAATTGTTCTTCACAAGCACAGTAACTGAGATTTAAAACTGTTAAAAGAAAAGGCTCAATAAACTATTGCACAGATTTAATACACTATGCATCAATATCTATTCCCTTTGTGCTTTGAACTTTTCTATGCGGAGCGCTGTGCCTGCGCGCTGTGACTCGGGATGCGCATAAGCGCTTTGTGCCGCTCTGGATTGGAGCCTTTCGTATCATAATACTTTTGCACAATGACAGATTATTAATAGCCTTTTGTTCGTCTTATCTATCATATGTTGCTGCCCTTACATTTAAAAGAAATGTCTTTTCATTTTATAGTAGGCCCTATCTATTTATATATAAATATATTACTTTTTTTCATGAATGTATTTTACAACCATACAAAGAGCAATGTGTAACATTTTACCAGATTTAGTCCAACACTTATTCACTTTTATTTGTTCCCCACTAAATAGTTTTTTTTTCACTAAAAGTTTAGATTCTATAAAATTATTGTGCACTCATGATTTTTCTAGAGTAACTTTTGCTACTGAATTATCCGCTAACCTAATTTATAGTAGTATTTTTGTCATAGATTATGATTATAGCCTGTATATTTTACATTTGTTATTTTTTCTTTATAAGAAAGTTGTCTATATTTAGTAGATTGTGTGTAACACACAAAAGAGTGATGATCAGTTCAACACACATTGAGGTAGAAATTCTATACTGATTAAAAAAACTGCACTGGTATCGGATCGGTATCGGCCGATACTCCGAATTTTTGGTATCGGATCGGGACCGGTTCTGAAAAAGTGGTATCGAGCCACCCCTAATTTTGGAGCTGTGAACGGCAAGAAATTGATTTCCGAATGAATATTTTAGTGGGTGCTCATGCAGAATCCATGTGTGTGTTTCTACCTGGGCTTGGCCTGTTGTTGCCAGGGTGTGGTGTAGAACCCTGTGATGTGAGAGAAGGGGGTAACAACAAGTGCAGGTGTTCTCTGTCTCCGCCCTGGTCATGTAGCCACATTTTCAGAGAGTTCTCCAAGGCCACAACTGTGCCCTCCACCAGCTGCAGATCCATCTCTGTACCCAGCATCAGGCTCTCTACAGGAGGAAGAGAAAGAAACTTTATATGGATAAATATCACATTCCTGTTTCCTGGCAGCATAATTCATCATCGGTTCATAATAAAAAGGCAGATTAAATCCAGGAAGTGTTAAACCTTGACCTTCCTCCTGTTTCTTTATTATTATGGCCCTTTTGTGATGTTTAGCCTCTGAACTCAGCTTCATTCTACAGATAAAAACATCTGGCGAACAGCAATTTATGAAAACCTATGTCCTGTCAGACGAAGGTTGTGGTACTCAAAACAACCAGTAGAGGGTACTGTCAAATCAATTTTGTATCTCATCAAGGTTAACCATTTCCAAATAAAGCTTGAAATTGCAAAATGTGCTTGTACTTATGTGATATGTATTTTTGCGAATATTTTGCTGTTGTTTTAAGCTCAGTAATCTAAATTTGTAATGTAAACCAGAATCCAGTTTCACGGTACTGTATATGGTGGCTCAAATGTCTAACTAAAATGTTGAAAGTAAATTACGTAAAATTATGACAGTAAATTATGAATGATTATTTAATGTCTCATAATACAAATATTTATATTTCTGACTTTAGCATAAATGTAAGTTAATGCCTTTAATGTCTTGCATAAAATTATGGCATTACACAATCACTCTTGTCAACTTTCTTCAGTGAAACATGAAAGGAGAAATTTTGAAGATTGTGCTGCTTGCTATTTTCCATCCACTGACAAAGAACAGGAACCAAAGCTTACAAGCGTCAAAAGGATGCAAAGCACCATAAAAGTATAGTGTATCATAAAAGTGTTTCAAACAACTTGGGCAATATTCCAAGTCCTCTGAAGCCACATGACAGCTTCATACTGATTAGCCACAACATTAAAACAACCTGCCTAATATCGAGTCCCCCTCATGCTGCCAAAACATCCCTGATGCGTCAAGGCATTGAATCCACAAGACCTCTGAACGTGTCCTGTGGTATTTGGATCCAAGACATTAGCAACAGGTCATGTAAGTCCTGCACATTGTGAGGCGGGGCCTTCGTGGAACAGATTTGTTGGTCCAGTACATCCCAAAGATTCTAAATCGGATTGAGATCTGGGAAATCTGGACATCAAGGCAATGTATAACAATATAATCAATGTTATTCACTTCACCTGTCAGTGGTTTTAATGTTGTGGCTGATCAGTGCTGACGAACAGACCAAAATGTAAACAACATTTATTCCTTTTATCAAATCATTCAGACCAATAATCCTTAAAGTCATGATGAAACAGAAGTGCAGATATTTTCTTCTGTAGTGTGGCATGCATCTGACTGTAACAGATTATCGGAAAAGAAAAAATGTAGGGGGATGGGATTCTATACATCAGTTATTGATTGGATTTTGAAATGTAGGTGGTGAATTCGTCCTGTCATGAGGTCAAAAAAAAAAAAAATAAAAAAGAGATCTAAAATATGCATTTAGAAAATAAGGTGAACACTCATTTCATGCTTAAAATGGAAACTTAAATGTATGTTAATAATCATTGCCACTCTCTCTGGACTCTTGAGTCCCTCTAAATTATTCATGTGCTCTCAGCACTATAGGGCCTTAAGAGGGTAATGGGGTTTCACAGTACATCTTTAATCTTTCATTCCCAAACAAACTCTAACTGGCAGAAAACCCTGCTAGCTGGAGTAAGAGAAAGAGAACAATCTCAACTGTGACAATTGCTGTCATGGGAATTTAAGATGGAAAGAAAATCTGGCGCATTTTCAGACCAACAAAACACAATGATGCAGTTCAGGATAATTGCTTTTTGGGGTTTTTAAATTAGGGGAGAACATGATCTCCTGTATGCCATATTCAGGTCAAATCAACCTAGCAACACTTGCATGTTTTTGGTGAACATACATTCTAAACAGAAGGTTAAACAAACTCTCAGGGTCAAATAGCTGCATTTAAATCAATTAGATTCAATTTATTAAAAGTAATTGCTTATTCCTATGCCTCCAAACAAACTGTCAGCCTATATTGGAATTAATTTCTACTGTATCATTGAGTCAAATGTGCATTAATGAGGTGCAGAACAGTTTAGGTCAGCAGTCCTTAAATTTGAGTTCTGAATAAATACAGCCGATATGTGCATCTCAGCGCTCTGTTGCTCATATCCAGTAGATTGGGCCCAGATGGAGAGGGTGAGAAAAATGCAAGTGTGAATGGAGAGTGTAAATGGCTTAGAGTAAAAGGCAAATGACACACATCCCCCGTATCACTTCCATTTGACACATATCTTGCATCTAGAGATGCCACTTCTGTTGTCATCTTCATTCCTTTTTCGTATCAAACTATGATTCATCAAGGTATCAATGCAACATTGCCCTTTTCAGTTGTATTACAGTCCCATTAAAATGTGCTTGTTGTATTACTATTTAAAAGCCACTTCATTCTTACCTCATGATCATTTTATTCACAAGTTTATAAACGCATTCATTAAGTTGTAAGAGCTCTGCTTAAATCATTTTTGAGCAGTGATACTGTGTCTATAAGCTATGCCTTTAACAGTTTCTATGGGGCGCTAATGTATTGATAGCCTAAACCATGTCATTGGCCTAGCAACCCCTTGTTTTTGCTTGGTAAAGGAGAAATTTAAAGGGGTCATATGATGTTGCTAAAAAGAATATTATTTTGTGTATTTGGTGTAATGAAATGTGTTTATGCGGTTTAAGGTTCAAAAAACACATTATTTTCCACATACTGTACATTATTGTTTCTCCTCTATGCCCCGCCTTTCTGAAACGCGTCGATTTTTACAAAGCTCATCGGTCTGAAAAGAACCAGCACGGATCAGCTCCAGGCATGACGAAGCAGATATCGTCCTCTTTTGGAAGGCCAAACAAAGTAGTTTCGCGTTCACAACGAATCACACAGCGCCTTCACGACATGGCGGCGGCAACAACAATACTACAGCGAGAATAAAAGTTATGCCTTCTTTCTTTGCATGAACATTTAGGCGGCGTTATGCAAATCTTCCCACATAGTGACCTAGATACGAAGCTAGATACCTAGATAAGATATGATCTTCTTTATGCACCAAGAGCTTGTAATACTCCAAAGAGAAAGGAAAAACTGAAATCGCATCATATGACCCCTTTAATGCAAACAGATTTTTTTTTCAGTTTAGGGAATATTTAGGGAACTGATTTTTCAATCAGTTAAGGTAATGTTCCCTTGTGTGTGTAACAGATAAATCATCTCCAAGCCATTTACACAAACTGTGCAACTTCCATACACATATATATCTTGATGACTGGAACTTTCTAATAGATGACTGAAGATAATTGGTCAGGCCATCATCCTGGACTAGACAACTCTGTAATTCATTGGTACCACCTAGCCAGTAAATACATTTATAATTCTACAAAAGATTTCTGTTTCAAACAAATGCTTACTATTCATCAAAGAATCCTGAAAAAATGCATCATGTTTCCACAAAAATTCAGGAACTGTTTTCAATATTGTCAATAGTAAGACAAGTTATTAGAGCAGCAAATCAGCATATCAGAATAATTCCTGGCTCATATGACACTGAAGACTGGAGTAACGGCTGCTGAAAATTCTGCTTTGCCATCACAGGAAAAAAATAAAGTTTAAAATACACTAAAACATTATACTAGAAATTAATTATTTCAAATTGTAATGTTTCACAATATTACAGTTTTACTGATTTTCAGAAATCAGAAATTGATCATCTGGGTTAAACAAATCAGTTCTATACTGGCATAAACTGCCTGCTCAGGGTAAGCATGGTATTAACTGTACCAAATTGAACAAAGATGTCTGTTTGTTGTGTAACAATTTCATCAATTGTCATTTACATTACAGGTACAGACACATCAAACTGAAAGAGTCAACAAGCAGAGCCAGGCATAAAGCCCCTCATTCTTTAAGCGCTGCCTTAAACAGGTAAGGCGCAAAATGAAAGACTGCACACTGAAAATAGCTCTCCTGTTTTTAAGAGAGAGTCAAAGACAGGCCGAGATCAAAAGCAAAGAGAGGGAGAACATTTTACTTTTAAATCATCTACAAACAGAATCATCGCCATAGTTGCATTCTCATGGGAAACGCTTACTAAGTGATGAAACTGAGTGTGAGGACAGACCACCCTGCCAGCCAGACGCTCCCATACACACACACACCCACGCACTCCTACACCATCATCTCATTTCAAAGAGCTACATTTTCTCCATTTTGGAAAGGGACAAAAACAGAGATAGTGAGACAAAACTAAATATCCGTGATGCTTCTTCTTCTTTGCGAAAATACTAGAATGAGAGTGTCATGTCCTTGCATCACACAAGGGCAAAATGAGATTTTACATCCTTCAAATGACACTAGCACACAAAAACAACATGCAAGAGAAAACCCCAATTAGTTTTGAGGGCATGAGTCTTTTTAATCTGTCTCTCAGGGCAATGCAAACAAATAACTCCATCCTTTGACTACCAATGTTTTACAGGCATGCTTGTAGTGAGTTTCATATAAAATGTCCTTCTGATGCTTTGGCATGTGGGCAGAGGACACAGATTCTGCATGATCCAAGAGAAGAGCCAACTGAATGTGTACATCCTCAAAAAAGGCTCCTACTGATGAGTCACAGTTAATCTGTCATGGATGAATGGGAGTTTATGGTTACTCTTTGTTCTGCACATTCACTTCAGGCAAAATATGTTTTTGACATCATCTTCCTTACCACATTCTGTTTCCTTTTATTGCAGGCTTAAGTTAGTCACCGTCCTTCACGCTCACACTTTGCCTCTCGTTTTTCTGTCAGACATCTTCCTTTATTCCTACCAATCCTACGTCTTGTAATTCTCTTATTGTGCACCTTACTGTTTTTTCACCCTTACATCTTTTAACACCCTTTCTTCCTCCAGTTCCCCTTCTCCAAGTTTCACCTACTCTCCTTTGTCTCCACTTTCTCCATGGTTTCTTTCTCACCTTATACGTCTTTCTGCTCTATGAATTTTGACCCCTAACAATCTGATTTGTCCCACCAATTATTCCAACATTACAATTTGCATTTATTCAAAGCAGCTTACAGTGTTTTCCCACAAAGTTCTGTATTTGCATTCTCTGGGAGTCAAACACTTGACCTTGGAGTTGAGCTCGAGGAACAATGGAACATATTTTGTTCATTAGTTTGCAGACTAAATAAGATTTAAGTAGACCTTTAAAGCCAGGACTTATAAGGAAAGACTCAGATCAAGAAACTATGAATGGTTACAACAATGTTAACCTGGACCAATGGATGAATCAAAACACTGCTGATTCAAATAAGCAAATCAGACATTACTGAGAACGTCTCAGGTTACTTATATAACCATGGTTCCCTGAGTAGGGAACGAGACACTGCGTCCTCTAGGGGTCGCTATGGGGAACGCCTCGTCGTGACCCGTGTCTGAAGCATACATTGAAAAGGGGGCCTGATGATCACGAAGGCTCCCGCAGAAGCCTGTGTTATGGCCGCATGATCCAGGAAGTATGAAGCCGAAACCCGGTTTTTCTTACCGTCTGGACATATATCGACGAGTGAAATACACACTGCAAGTCGAGCACCCGGTTCTGAACCCGGCAGAGGGGGCCTCATCGAGGACTTATCCTAGAAAAAAGGGACCAGAACACACAGGCCCCGGGAAACACTGCAAAGAAACTAGCAGAAGATAACACACAACCACTAATCTCATTAGATACACATATATATTCATATATACATATATTAGACATGGATCGTACTCACCCACCATGGTTCCCGCGTCGCGATAGCTCTTACTTTTTCCTTGGAAATGCACGCTTCAAACAGAACAGTCAATGAAGACGAAGAAGAGAATGATGTGTGCTCCCGGCGCCTATTTATACTATAGTCGCACCGGTAGTGACGTCATGGCTGTCGCCGGCCAACGAGTTGATGTTTTTTCAATGTATGCTTCAGACACGGGTCACGACGAGGCGTTCCCCATAGCGACCCCTAGAGGACGCAGTTCGAAGTTCCCATGAAAGGGAACCATATGAAACTAACCACTAATGAGGCCAGATGAGGATATCTCTAACAAGTATATCTGAGACCAGTCCTAATGAATTCAGAGCAATGAAAACAACATTCAATTCCTGTGGATTGATGAAATTATACTTGACTGATGAAACGTGTGTTTCCAGAACTTGGATGAAGTGTTTACATGGCCTATAAAAGATTACAGGGCCGTCTTCATTATTCGGCACAGATAGCAAGTTGCATCAGGAGTCTTTGTGCGTTAAAGAGAATGTGTATGGGAGAGACCATATAAGGTTTTTGACAGAAGCTCACTAATGCATACTCACACTATAGGCACGACAGTCTTGTACTGAGCCCGAGTGCGATAGCCTCCCCCCAACTTTTTGAATTTAAGAAAACAGGAAGAAAACCGCTTTCACTAATAGACTGTGTAATAGTGTATCACTTATGTTCTGCAACGATTTTCATTTTAATTGTGCTGCAAGTATCAGAACATTATTACGGAGGCACATGGCTGCTCATCAACAAAGTGAGAACCATATCCATTATAAATCTACATATACTATCCAAAGTACTATCCAAATAATAATAGAAGATGTTTGTTGTAGTAACGATTACAGTAAAATAGTAAAAAATACAGTAAAAACAATAATATTGTGAAATAAATTTATAAAGTGTATAAAGATTGTTTTCTATATTAATGTATTGGGAAATGTAATTTATTCATGTAGCTTTTATATTTACTCCAGTATTCAATGTTGCATGACCCTTTGGATCAATCTAATATGCTGATATGGTGCTCAATAATCAATAGTAATTGTGCTGCTTCATATTTTTGTTGAAGCCATGATACATTTCTTTCAGGATAATTTCAAGATTTCAAGACCAAGATTAAAACAGGTTTAAAAAAAACATTCTGTATCTTTTGTAACATAAATGACTGCGTTTACACTTGTATCTGGATGTTGTCCACATACACATTGAAAAGACGAGTGTAAACGCTTCTGATCGGAATGTTATCCGATCAGCGTGTCCTGGTCCAGAGGTAGTCGAGGATGCATTGTGATCGGATCTCAGTGTAATGTAAATGCAATCCATCCATCGTGTCTGCATTCGCAGGTCGACATCACGCAAAACCCCGCCCCCTCTCTCGTGAACGGTCAGAAGAAAGATGAGGTGCGTTCGACTTGAACCACGGCTACAGACAGCAGTCATTGAGAGTAGCTGCTTGCAGTCGGGGATGGAGTTGAAAACGGAGCCGTCAAGCCGGACACTTTCTGCTCCCGATAGTTTGCATACAGATGAAATTAATTAAATGCAATATTTGTCAAATACACAGACGTTTCAGAAACGTTTTCATGAGCAACAGATAATATACTGATTATATAGTGCTTAATACATCGCCATCTGTTCAAGAATAAAGTTCAATGTAAAAAAAAAGGTTTTACTGTTCTAAAAACAAAGATTTGTGGCTATTATTGGAATGGAAAAGGTTAGAATAAACCTGAAACACATATGATCGCTGTCATGCGGTGAATCTGGCCAATCGTCAATTAGCTGTGTCGTCATCAGCGCTCCTGCAGCCGCTCTGGAGAAACTGCGCCGGCTGAGTCAGTCGCGCTCAAGCATTTCCTAATTTCACTTCAGAATTTTTTGTTATACTTAATCTTTTGTTATATTTTTTTTATACTGTCATCATATGTAAAGTGTATATATATATATATATATATATATATATTTACTTTCTTTTACCTTTACCAAATTTACCTGTATTTACTTGGTTTTCATATTTGGCGACCTTTTGTGAAAAATTGAGACTTTTGAGGGTGGTTCTAGCGATTTTCTGAGGGAGGGGTTTGGCAACACTGGCCCTCCCTTTCCCCGGGAAAATGAAGTGTACATCTGATGGACACTTCGCACCCTACCATATCCCAGAATCACTTGCGCGGCATGCACTGCTTCAAGTCAGATTGCGATCAATCTGCGCAGTGCTACATGAAGTCGAAAGCACCTATGGACAACACCAGGCTGTGGAGCGCTAGTGAGACTCGTACACTTACTGTATTTCTTTGATTTGTAAAATGTCCCGCGACTGAAAATGCTTTTCAAAAGAAAACCCACCACTTCAGGTCGACTTTGCACCAGGGCAATTCTCTGCAGACTTATTTAAATATTGCACAGGAAAGACAGATCCGATCGGTTATCCAGATAACATTGCCAAATGTAAACGCAATGTGTCCTGATTGACTGACCAATCTGCTTGATCGGATCGCGTGATCGCATGTTAAAGGTGTAAACGCAGCCAGTGTCTTCACTGTCACTTTTGATCAATTTAATGTATCCTTATTGCATAAAGTATTAATTTCTTTTGAATGGTAGTGTATATAGACAAATATGTATTAGTATGCACTACAGTATATCATAGGATAACTAGACATCCCTGTTTTCCCAAGTAGGTATAACTGCAGACCGGAGATCTCCAAAATGGGGTGTGAACTCCAAAAGTGGGCAGAACCTTCAAAATGGGGTGGGGTCTCTTCGCACAAAGACTTTCACCATTGGCTCTGGCTTCGGCCAATTGTTATTGACTTACATTTCAAAATAAAACTTTATAAATTAAACATTGTTTCTTGATCTAAAATAAAATATGCTATATAAATAAATATTTTCCGTGAGAGCAGAACCCAAAGCTCGTGGCAAGTGTTGTTTGGACTGGAGTTTGAACCTCTGCTTAATAAACGGGAATCACCCATGAGCTTTCCTGCGAGCCGTCTCAGCGCAGCGCAGGGGAAAGATTTTACTCTATCACTTTGTTTTAGCCAATGGGGGCGTCCCGGGGCTCAAGATTCGCAGGGAAGGAGGGGGTAGTGACGCTGGGTGTAACTAAAAAGGTACCATTGTCCGGTGAGGTCCGGTTGGGGAGTTACGGAACGATCTCAT